TTTCTCCCTTTTTTTTTTTTTTTTTGGGGGCAGAGTCCAAAGTGAAAAACAAATGTATTTCACAAACAAAGAGCAACAACAAAATAAGCGGAATTCCTTTGCGGGGAGAGAGATGGCAAAAGTTTTTCCAACTATTTAGAAAAATCATGTAATGGCGTGGAAATTGTTTCTGTTCTGTCGTTGCCGCTGCTGGTTAATTTGCTCGACGATTAAGTGTGAATTGTTTGTGGGCGGGAATGGTGGATGGGGGATGGGGGAAATGGCAAATGTAAATTGCAGACAAGAAAGTTCTGATATGCTTTTCATTTCTTTCTGGGGAAACTTTGTAATTTGTTTAACTAATAACTGAGCATTGTTTGGTTCAAGTTTCAATTGTTCGACCATATCACCGGTTTAATGTAGCTAGTAATGAGAAATCTCATGAATACCCAAAGAAGAAGGACTATCCAAGATGATGTTTAAGCTGAAACTTAAGACAAACAATTCTCAGAGCTTCCAAAAAAAAAAGAAGCAAATCACGAATATTTGTAATTAAAAATCTACCCACATAAGGGAGTTCCGTTCCCCACGGCTGGTTACTGGTTCGCTTTACTCTCCCTTTACTTTCACCCATGCTGTGCAATATTTCATCCAGTTAATCAGTTTTACATCAAACCGATGCTGGACTGTGTGTGTAAGTTTTTCAATCGAGCGCCCAAACCATGGTAAAAATTGTAGTAAGTAATGAAAACTCTGATTGAAAGTTTGCTCGCCATTGAAACCAATGGCAACTTTTGGAGAACAATGCAGCATGGAGAGGATGGGGTGCCAGGGCCAGACCAGGCCAGACCAGACCAGACCAGATGAATCATGCAGGGGCGGGGGTGGAGTATTGGGTTTTGGTTTCGGTTTCGGTTTGGGGGCCATGACCAGAATTATGCTCGTCAATCTTCGGGGCTGCCAAGGCGACAGTTTGATAAACTGAAGCAGCGCTTCACAGATACTAATCAGCGCTTCGTTGAGCGCTTAACAGGAAGCAATAAATTTACCCAGGACATGCCAATGCACGAGTAGAGTAGATGTGTGTATGTGTGTGGGTTTGGGTGTGTGTACGTGTATGTGTCGCGCCCTTGTCTAGAAATTTTAATTAAAAGCGATGACATAGCGAGTAATTCTATATCAAAATGTCGCCTATTAATTTTAAGGACATTTCCTTTATTGATTCATTGTCAATATTATATTGAACCCATAATTTACACATAAAAGGGCTATCCGCTCCCCGCAACCCTCTCCATGTCTACTATATTGGCCCATCATTGTCTTGGCATCGTTTACTTTTAGCTGCTTGCTCGGCTGTGGCCTTTTGTTTGGCTTGTTTAATTCATTTAGACATTGAAATGTTGCTGGGGCGTGTTTGCCTTTTGATGAGCCCAACACACGACACACACAGATATACACACACACACACACACACACTGAAGCATTGCGTGTGTGCGTGACTTGGTCTATGGTATAGCCGGGGACATTCCCCCCTTGTCGTCTGTCGCTTTTGATAGCCAAACATTCCATCTTTACGCCATTTTCAAGCACGCCAACAGAGCCGCAACCAGAGCAGGGTCAGGGGCATGGGCAGCAGGGGGAAGAGCCAAAGCAAACAGAAGGCTTAGACCCCGCCACCACGCCCATCCCTGGTGGCCTCACTTGATTCTGATTTAACGTTCACCGTAATTACAAACAGCCAAACACGAGAGTGGAAATGGAAATGAAAGTGGAAGTGGCAGGGGAAAATGGAAATGGTTATGGCTGGAGATGGAGTTGGGAATGGAGATGGGGATATCCGACTTAATTTAGTCATCTAAACGCGCTTGTTATTGATAAGAAAGTAAAATGGAAATAATATACAAATTATAGCGACAATAACTTCAATATAAAGTCACTAAAACCGCAATGAAAGGGGCACAAAATTAAGACTGTATTTGGGTGCCGACTCTTTGGATACTCTTACTCTTAAAGATCCACGATTTGGACATAACTGTGATTAACCATCCTCCCTGCATATGTCACCTTTCAATCCGAATAGGCACCCGAAAATCCGTTGCTCCCAAAAAGGATTTCCTGCTATTAGAGTTGCACATTTTTGGAGCACTTCATTAGACCGACAGTCAGCAGGACTGGTTCACCCAGGGACATCTAATGGACAAAATCATGAGATATTTTCCAATCTCCATCGGCTTCTGGCCACTGCTTTGGCCACGTATTAAAGCAACTGCAACTGGAAATGGCACAAAGGCCTAGTGTGCCACATGCCATGCCGCCGGGGCCAAGGGAATCGACAGAGTCGGAAAGACACATAGACAGGGAGGCGAAGGGATACAGAAGTGAATGGCATGGGGGGGGGGCACAACACAGAGACGGATACAGGGCAGAAAAGGGGCGCGAGAGAGACAAAAGCCAGATTCCATTTGAATGGCCAACAGAAACCCATAAACCATTGGCCAAAACACAATTGTGGCAACAGACTGACTGTCGTGTCCAGGGCCCCAACCACTAAGACTCCCTCCCCTGTGCCATCCCCTAAGCCCGCTTGATTATTTTTCTAGTGGCGAATATCGAAATTGAGTGGTGAAAAATGGAAATAAAATTGTTTTAACAATAAATTAAGTTGCTGTTGCAGCATAAAAACGAGTTTATCCAATGACTGACTCGTATTGAGGGTTCCCATTTGCTGGTTGAAGCAATAACGAGGACAGGAGGTGTGCAATGTGTAGACGAACTATCGAAGATGAGCTCAAAGTTGGACCAAAAACCAGAGCCTCTCCACCAGCAAGGCCCCCAAAGAAACAATTGCAAATTCCTACAGTATTCACTCAGGGTACTTGAAGGTTGCGAGGGTATATTGCGTTCCAACACATAAATGTGCCAGTAAGAGCCAAGTGGTTCTCCCTTATATATCCCAGATTAGCACTCACATTGGCAGATTTTTGTGATCGGCAAAAAGATCAGACAAACATTTTTGAGACTCGTATGTATATGTGGGCTGAGTTTTGCCAACAGCGATCCTTGGACATAGCAAAAACGAGCGAGTGCGAATTCGCTCCCAGGCGAACGACAAGAGAGCGTGCGAGGGCGAATTAAGATGAGAGCGCAAAGCAGATCGGCGAGAGAGACGCCGAGAGCGACGAACGACTCGATTTCTTGTACCATATTTATTTGTATTTTATTAATTATTAAACCTGATTGCCCACATATCTAACTATTCAATTGAATGATATTTACATTCAGAATGAAGAAGAATTCAAATATATTCCGATTAGAGCGTATCCCACAGTCGGAATGCTGACTCTAGCCAAGCGCTCAAAAAATATTTCGTTTCGTTTCTTTGGCCTGCTCTTCTTATGAGAGTTGACTCCGTCGGAGGCCAATTTAATAGCATACTTTACAGCACTAAGCAGTCTATAATAGCAGCAACAAGAGGAACGGCCGTGGAGCCGTCGAGCAGCGACAAACAAACAAAATGAAGTGACGTCGCCGAGTCGCGACTCGCAAAAACGGACGTTCATTGTTCTGCCAAGAAAAGCAACACGACAAACCGAAAAGGAACTCTGGAGAAGCAAACAGAGACAAAGGTTCGGCCGAAGGACCGGAGTCCTTCCTGCCTCCAACGATTTCCAGACACACTTTCTGAGTATGCATCCATATGCCTCCAAAGAGAAGCCCTTTCAGAATATTCATTAACAAAACTAAACCAATAAGAAGAGTTAACACTCAGCCAGCTCTTCTGGTTCTGTTTCTGGTTCCAAAAAGCGATCAACTATCCGACATAAAACTCAAATTGGAGATCCTTTTCATGACAATGTCGGAATGCTTCAAAGTTAGGGAAGTTGGGATGATGTTGCTGCTGGTAGCAGGCAGGAAGCGGGCAACGGTTCCAGCGACTCCCTTTTGAACTTCCGCTTTGGCTTGCAGCAATTTCTTTGGGCTTTATTGCCAGCCCATCCCCCAGCCGCCCAGCCGCCCGCCAACCGCTCGCCGGCCTCCCCGCCACGACGCATATAGCATAAATTTTGAATACGCTCAAACTGCTCAAAGGGGGTGTGGACAAGGCGTCGGGTAGGGCGGAAGAGAGTCGAAAAAAATAGCGAAAATTGTCTGTCGCTTGATAAAGCGGAAGCAGAACTTGCCCATAAACGAAATGTGGCAACTGAGTGTAAACTTTATTGGCGCCAGACTGCCTGGCGACAACGCTGTTGTCATGCTCATCCTTCTCCGTGGCAGCATCCCACTTCCCACTTCCCAGTTCCCAGTTCCAAGTCTCATCCCAGCAGTGCCTTCCTTCGTGTACTCCTTCCCCCCCAGCTCATTCGGCGCTTCTTGGTTTATTTTTTTTTTTTTTGTTCAACTTTTTGCCTGCTTGTGCCCGTTGTGACTCATGCGACACGCATTGAAAGCCAGCAGAAGGAGCAGCACCCAGGCCAGACCAGACCAGACCGATGGCGTCTCGATGGCTGGCAACTAAAGTCATCGTTTACCCCCCAAGAAGAAGCTGCTTGTTTGTTTTGTCTGACTGTGGCGCTGGCGCTGGCTCCACGGTGACTCCCAGTCTGGTTGCAATTTGGAGTGGGTTGGGCAAGTGGCATCGGGATCGGGAGTCAGAGGAAGTCTTACATTAGTTGATTTCATGCGCTGTTTACATTGGCAGCGAATTATGCGCATTGGAAAAGCGAGCTTTGGCTGCCAGCGGGTGGTTCCCCCCATACGATGCTATCGCATCGAGATGAAACGGAATGGCTTTCAAGCTCTGGCCCTTGGCAGGCATTAAGCCTTGGACTTTTGTGCATATGGCGAATGTGGCAGATCTTTCTGGGATGTTTTTCCAATGTGTCAAATCCTTGGGCATGCTTGAATCTGGTAGTTTTTTTTTTTGTCTTTGCGTGGGTTTCACTATTACAGATTTTAGATTCACAGTTCTTCCTTCCCTCCTTCCTTTTTTTCTCACCGAAACTTTCACTTCTTTCTTGCAGAGGTTCTATCCAGCTGGGAGGAATGGTGGACATACGATGGTATATCCGGTAAGTAAAGTTCCCCTTTTAATTTCAGATGGGATAAGCAGAATTATTATGTATGGTTCTGCTGGCCATCCAGAACCCATCCAGATCCAGCATAATATCAAAGTGCCAAAATCCATGCAATATTCTTGCCGCATTTGAACACATAAATTGGCAATTCTGTGAAAGCTCATGTCCATCCCCTTTCTATGCGACTGGATTCTGTAACTGATTTAATTACATTTCAAATCGTTTGGCAACAACAAAAAAAATAATAATAACAGTAAAGGAAACGCAGACAAGCAAACATCCCAGATCAGATGAGTGTAGGATGTTGTTGCAGTTGTAATTGTTGCATGTCACTGTCTGAATGGTCTACCCACTCACGAATTCTCCACCTGCAGACTGCCGGGAACTCAGTTGCAGTTTTATTTATGCAACAGCAACAGCAGCAGTAGCAGCAGAAAAAGAGACAAACAGGCAATATGCAATTGCAACAGAAGCAGCAGCAAGAGCAGCAGCAGCAGCGGGAGGAGCAGCAGCAACAAATGAATGCAAACACACAAAATGAACAGCGGCCGGGTCAGGCCACAAACGCGACAAGTGCGGGGTGGCAGCAAACAGGGGGCGTGTGTCTGGTCTGGTCTGGGGCAATGTCAGAGGGTGGGTCAACTGCATCATCATGAAAAAAAAACTTTTTAAACTTTGGCATTTATTGCCTCCATCGCTCGGGCATCGTGTGTCGCGTGTCACCCCAGCAGCAGCACACACAAAAATAAAGCCACACACAGACAGTCTCACACAGCCACTGCACGCACGCACACACAGCTACGCAGGGATCGAAAACCTCGAAACCGAATTGCAGCGAACGAAATTCGCATCCTGAATGCCCACCCAAAACTTTGAATGGGTTCCATCAGCCTGATAAATATCAGGGACACAACAAAACATAAAATTCTGATTCTGGAAGCTAGGATAAACAGCCATAACTAAAAAAAAGAGTTCTCTCTTGGCACCGAATTCAGATATTTAATTAGAGATTATTAGATTTTAGCTTTGAGAACCAACTACCAGTGTTTCACTCTTCACGAAGTTTACCTCAAATCAAACATATGTTTGACTTAAGCTCTCACTCCACAAATATTGCTAAAGACTGTTTGCATATCGCTGAGATCGAAAAACAAAGAGCATTCAATTAGTCGACTACCAGCATCGCAGCTGTTCTCGCACCATTTGTTTGCTTCAATTTATTTGCGTGGTGGTGTTCGCATGGCATAGAAAAATTGTAAATTTTGTATGAGGCACAAAGGCCTAATTCCCATGACCCATAGACCACCACTATCAGCCACTGCCACCACTACGTACAGCCGCCACCAGGCTGCCCGCTGACCATGGTGATGGTCCTACCCAAAAACCGAGCATTGTTTTGAAAAGTTTCGACAGTTTTCAGCCCGTCGCATCACATCAGGCATAAAACTTTTGGTTCACCCGAAAAACCCGCACCGCACCCATTGCCAGTGCATTTAATTGCCATTTAAAATGGGCTGTGCGAGTGGCAGCGAGCAGTGTGCAGTGTGCAGTGTGGGAGGTGGTGCAGGATGAAGCTTATGAAATTTCATTTGGCATTTGAAATTGTCATCGATGTTGCTGCTGGAGCTGAACCTGCCACTGCCACTGCCACGGCCGCGGCCGCTGCTGTTTGCATTGGCAAGGAGGCGAAGACACGTTTTCCATTTGGTCGATTGACAGAAAAGAGTGGATCGAAAGGGGGCCAGGGGACAATAACTGATGCATACTGTATACTCCTTTGTGTATCTGTGTATGTTGCACACGACTCTCATACGTTGATTCGTTTGGCAGGACCCAGCTTCTGGGGCCTTATCAATCCACAGTGGAATATGTGCAACAAAGGACGACGCCAATCGCCCATCGATGTGGTGCCCGACAAGCTGCTATTCGATCCCTACCTCCGACCGCTGCACATCGACAAGCACAAGGTGTGTATATACCCATATTCAATGCATATTGGGCCATATTGGGCATTCTCACCAGCCTTGTACATATCCTTGGTTGGTCAACAGGTTTCCGGCACCCTGCACAACACGGGCCAATCGCTCGTCTTTCGCGTCGACAAGGACACCAAGCAGCATGTGAACATATCTGGCGGCCCCCTGGCCTATCGCTATCAGTTCGAGGAGATCTACATACACTATGGCGTGGATAACACCCGCGGCTCCGAGCACTTCATCCAGGGCTACAGTTTTCCCGGCGAGGTGAGTCTCTGGTCTGGTCTGGTCCGGTACAGATGCAGCGGGATCATCGGCGGCACTGACAGACCCCACCAACAATGCTGGCTTCTCCCTTGCAGATTCAAATCTATGGCTTCAACAAGGAACTGTACCACAATATGTCCGAGGCCCAACACAAGTCGCAGGGCATTGTGGGACTGTCGCTTATGGTGCAGATTGGTGAGACGCCCAATCCGGAGCTGCGCATCATCACGAGCACTTTCAACAAGGTGCTCTATCGAGGTGAGTCCGCTACAGATGCATACATACATACATATATCTGCGTGTCTTCCATTATATTTTATTTTCCACATAATGTTGCATTCGTGTTCTATTATTTATATATATATCGATAGTTGTTGCCATCTCTAGCTGACATTACCTTGCATAACCTTTTCCTTGCCTTCATTTCCGTCCACGCAAAATGCCCCCGGAAATGTTTCAACGTTAATATCGTTGCAATGCTCTGCCGTTTGGCTTCCCTTTCTGCTCTTTCTCACTTTTGCGAATGTCTTGCTTCATGCGCTGTCCTGCCCTGACCTGGCCTTTCCTGCCCTGCCCCTTTTATGATGTCATTGCAACACCAACAGCAACAACAACTGCAGTCGAGGCCATAATTATGTCCAGGCGAGCCATAAAAAATGACTCCAGGCGGGGGCTACGAAATTGAGACTGCCCTGCACAAAGTGACGAAAATGAAACCTCGAATTACACTAAACCGACACTTAATAATTCCCTTACCCCCGCACCCTACCCGGCCGAGCGAACGGACGGACGGACGGACCCACAAACTCATTGCACGTCTCGTTGGCAGTTTCTTGGCCAGTTTAATAGCCTTTTTACAGGTCGTACAACTTTATGGCAGGCCAGCCCCAGCCTTAATTTGTAAAATGCCAGAGAAGCCAAGCAACAACCAAAACCAAGAAATATGCCAGGCCACTCTCCAACAATAACAACAACAGCAGAAACAGCAGCTACAACAACAACAAATTTAACAAAAAATTGTTTACTGCATAGTTGAAGGTTGAACAAATTGTAGATACTCTACAGCACTGAAAGGTGAATGCGAGATATTGTGGGGAAAAGATACAGATAGCTGAAAAGATGATACTAACCAAATAAACAAATATATTAATTTACGAATATGTACATATATTGACAAGGGAACAAATCAAAGAAGTTAGACGAAAAGAAAGGGGTACGAGTAGAAAATATTAAGACAGCAGCATAGCCACACTGACGGGCGACAATAATTTAGAGACTTGTGTACTTATATATGCAAGAAAGAGAATGCCAATATACGTTTTAAAAAGATAGTCCCTTTTGAAATGATTCTCTAGCGAATTTCAAACGATCTCCTTGCATGAAATCTGACCATACAATTCAGTAAGCTGCTTTCGAAAAAGGCACCCAACACATCTACAGTGCAGCCAGTGGCAGCTCGTCTCAACCACAAGGGAAAGTAAAAGTAACACTTCGGATGCAAATACTCATCCCCCTTCCCAGACGCAGCCCGTGACCCACCATCATACCCATTCGACTCCGACTGCGACTCTGCCTCGGCAATTGCCAGACTTTGAGCTGTGCTACATTGCGGCCTTACAAGCCGCGAGTTGCTTCATTTCCGGCTGGCAAAATGATTTGTATGAATAAAGCCGTGCGCCGACGTTGAAGTGGTCAGGTGAGGGGTCAGGTCGAGTCGGATTAGGTCGAGCATGGGTCGGGAATAGGTCGGGACTGGGTACAGATTGGCTCGTGAATGGGAATGGGAATGTGAGTGGGCCAGAATGGTGCAAGTGCTGTTGTTGCTGCTGCTGTTGTTGTTGGGGTGGTGGCCGTGTCTGAATTATTCATTCGACTCTGGCATGCCGAAGTTGAAGACGTTTTTTTCATATTTTTTTTTTTGTGCGATATGCGCATAAATAGCTCAAGCTTTCGAGCCGCACCTGCCGCAGTCCCTTCTTTTGGGCTGCACCTTGAACTTTGCATTTCTCATGTTTTATGCACTCACTGAACCGTTCCATCCTGCTTCCATCCTTCCCACAGGCTTCTCGACACCCATCCGGCACATATCGGTGAGGTCGCTGCTGCCAAACACGGATCATTACATCACCTACGAGGGCTCCACAACCCATCCCGGCTGCTGGGAGAGCACCGTCTGGATCATAGTTAATAAACCCATCTATATCACCAAACAAGAGGTGAGTTCGAAGACCCCTTAGATCCCTCCCGCAAACCACCAAATATTCAAATCCCAGCCAATCAACGACTTGCCAATTTTGCATAATCAAATATCATATTACAAATTGATGTTGGCATAATGTAATTAAAATATTAAAGCACGCAAAATGTAGGTATATTTTTAAGCATGTAAAATGTATCTGATGAGGTACGGGCACGGTTTACATTGAACTAAATAATCATGCAATGGATCATCAAAAAATATCCCTTTTTTTGATGGTGTGGCGACCAGTCGATTTTTTTTTTGGTCGAACACCGCAAATAATTAAATGCGTTTTGTGTGTGTTTTCAATTGCAATTAGAGATGATTGTTATTGTTGGTTTATTTATGTGCAGTGGCTTTTTTATCCTCCTGTCCGTCCGTCTCTCCCTCCCTCTCTCTCTCTGTGTTCGTCTCATGTTTTTATGATGATTGGAAGTACAATGAAATCGCATAAATGCAATTATAAAATTGCTCATCAATTTGGGCATTGGTCAGATCGCGGTGGCAGTGCGGTCAATATGCCGCTCTGTGCATAATTAAAAAACAATATTTGGTTAGTTTAATCAATTTGCATAAATGCATGTGTAATGGAGGGATGTTAGGGGGTGGCAAGGGCTGCAAAAGGGTCGTAAAAAGCGCATCAAGCAGAACAAACAAAATAGGAATCAAATGAAACGCAAACAAGTCAACGGTTGCCTAACGAGGGATTTTTATGACCTCAATGGGTATTCTATGGCTGAAACAGAGAGATAAACTACTTGGGAGTTCCACGGATCCCAACGGGATTATAATAATCTGAACAGAGCCCAACTGGATTGCTACTCTAAGTATTCTAATCCCCCTATAATTATTGGTTAATAATTTTATGATTCACAATAAAAGTTGAATTAAACTGAAGGACGGAAAATCAATAGTAAATGAAACACAATTTGCAGTGTAGCTTGAGGTACACTAAGAGTAGAAGCTGCTTATCCCAAATCTGCTTTCAGTTAACTTACAGCATAAGCGCAAGCCCTAACACCAAACTCTTAATATAAAAACTACGAGTACCGACATATACATACGTCAATGTGCAAGCAAATTAGTATAGAGCTGTCATACATAATTATCCGCCATCTGGTTGACAAATAGCGCAAAGCATTTGACACTTCATTCAACTTCAATTAGTGGGAAATTACATTGGCCAGGAAAAGCCCGCAGAAAAACCATTAAAATATTTTGTCACTTGTTAAGTGTTGTTTGTGCCAGCCGGGAGAGAGAGAAGGAGAAAGTGAATGAGGGAGGGGAGGGGAATAGTTAAAAAATAATATGTACGTTTGTATTTGCAGTTATACCAACTCCGACGACTGATGCAAGGCTCCGAGAGTACTCCAAAAGCTCCACTAGGTAATAATGCGCGACCCGTGCAAAGTTTACATCATAGAACCGTAAGAACGAATATAGATTTTAAGCGGAACAAGGTGAGTGAAGCCTCAGCTACCTCTATACCAATACCATTCCCAATCCCCCTTCCCACTTCTTATGTATTGTTGTTGTATTTTTATCTGACAGAATCAATATGCTTGCCCCTCGATGTATAAGGATATGTATTATCGGGCGAATCGTTGGTCACCAGACACGGGACTCTTGATACGTTGACAACAGTGCGTGCAAAACTGCGAAATGCAATTAATATCATTGCTATTAATATTAATATTATATGTGGTGAACAATGCTACACCAATGGCAACTATATTGACAACAAAAAGAGCTCCTCCAACAGCAACAACCGATGCGGTCAGCGGGTCACTTTTGATGTTTTTATGTCGCATTCAATTTTCATATTCATGTTTTTAATACGAACTCGGCATTCGTTTTGGCCTGCAATATTCCTACAACAAAAGCAGCAGCAACAGCATAACAATTTATATTATTTATTGCATTATTATTAATCAAATATGTATGTAAAAGCCGCCGCCGCAGCAGTAGCAACAATATGCAACATGAATTTAGGTAACAAATGCTTGCAACAAAAATAGCAACTACTCGTAGGAACGCTATAGCTAAGTGCCTCGACTATGTAATACCCGGTACTTAGGTTCTCAAAGGGTAAGCAAAATGGCATGCATTTCTTTGCTGCAGTGCACTGCAGTGGCGCAAAGTAGACTTTGGCTTACAGCATCCGACTATGGACGAGAGGCTACGAATGCAGGTCCCAACAAAAACCCCTTCACTACTGGTGGAATATAGTTTGGTATTCCGATTTTAAAACCCTTTAAAAGTGATTTTATCTTTTGCTTTTTTCATACATACTGGATATTAACAGGATTAAAATATATCCCTTGAATTCTGCGAGTATAGGGAGGAGGAAATAGAGAGGAATTTCCATGCAAATATCCAAATGCCACATTAAACAAAACACAATACACACAAAACGTACAGAAAATAAGCGGAATATTTTGATTTGATAGTTTTGTGCGTAAGTCGTGAAACAATTATTGTTCAGGCAGGCATTTAATGAGCATTGCGATGGGTATTTTATGTATATTATGTTTTTAAAATTTAAAGTCCCCTAATTAAAAAATACTCAAAAGAAAAAAAATTCCATCTCGTAGAACTTTCGATGTTTGAGGGAAATAAACGAAACTTTTCACTTTTAATTGGGTTGACTTGGTCTCCTAGGTGGGGTGCCTTGGCTTAACACCTTTGTTCGAATTTATCCCAAATAAACGAATCGAATCGATTCAGGCTTAAAGGCTTAGATATAATCCAAGCTCATTTGAATATTTTCGTTTCATTGCATTTCTGAATGCAATAATTATTTGCGATTTGCATTTGTGTTGCATTACACATCTTTTGTTATGCAATAGTATGCCGCTGCAAACAACAGTAACAAATAAGAGAAACAATATATAAAAATGAACAAAATAGAGGAGAATTTCCGTAAACTGGATGGGTGGACAATAACTAACAAAACAAAACGAAAACAAAAACAAAAACGAAAACGAAAGAGTAAAACGAATGGAGAGAAAGTATAACAAATGGCAACAGAAATTAACAAAAAAAAACTAAATATTCATATAAACATACAAATAGTAAAGGTATCTATCTATATATATACATACATATATATATATATATATATATATATATACACAGGCAAGCATATATATAATAAACCTATATACAACTCTCTCTATATACATATATATATATAATACTATATACTATATATGTAGTATGTGTTATACAGACATGGATGATGGAGAACTAAGGAAACTAAATGCAATGCAGCCAGGAAGTTGAAAAGGAAAGTCGGGTGCGATGGGATCGGCACATCGTTTGCACACTATATATGATAGCTATATATAAATACATACAAACATACATACATACGATATGTAAGCCAGCAGCCACTATAAGTACTATAGACCCCCTTCCCCTTCCCACCCACACAAAAACACTATCAAACCAAAAGCATTTACAAGCATACAATATTTAACCAGCTTTGACGATGATCTGGCAGGACATCTTGCCCTCTATCTATACACACCCCACATACACATACACACACACACACACACATATATCTAGTCATGGAGTATACACAAAGCGAATGGGCTACAAAACATAAACAACTAATTCTAGAATGCAAGCATTAGAACTATGTAACTAAATAAACTAACTAATTGATTAATGGATTAACTAGCAGAGTGGCTAACAAAAATCAAATTCAAGTAAAGTTAGATGAAACAATTTTTTTTGGGTAAATATATATATATTTTTTTTTTGTTTTTTTGCGTCTGAATGTTGCAAAAGTGTTTTTTGGGGGCAAACGAAAAATGTTGCAAAAGTGCTGTAGAGACAAGTATTATGGCTAGTGTAGAACCTAAGTTACTGAATAGCATTTAGCAGTTAGCACGACCTGAGTTTGTAATATATATATATAAATATATATATCTATATACATACATATATATGATTATATATAAAAGAGTAAAAATGTGTATCGGATCCGTTCAATTCCCAAAAATTCGCAGCTGTCGAGCAGACAATTAATGTGCAATTATTGTATTTCCTTTTGGGCCAACCAAGCAAAATACCAACTAGGTAAATATCTTATTAGCCCCCCCCCCCCTCGAAAAAAAAAAAATTATGTGTAGAGCATTAACTATTTGTATAAAAGCTAAAACAGAGAACGAAACAAATTCCTCAACTCGGAAACACTTTGCTACGACTGTAAGTTACTATTTTGTTGCCATAACAAAATGCAGAACTATATAGTATATATATATATAAACTAAACAAACTATATACATATATACCTATATACACATATATATACGAGTATGTATGTGTAACTATAATTGCAAAAAAAATTACCAAGCATAGTGCAAGAAATAGCAATTGAAAAAGGCCTAAAACAAGCAAAAAACGATACGAAACGGAATGTTGTTTCTCCCCCAAAAACGAAATTGAAGAATGCAAAACTAATAAATGAAAAACGAAAAGTATTATATGAGAAAAAGAAAAAACCGAAAAACAAACTGAAACCTTTTTAATTACTGGCTTAAGGGGTGGGGCTTGTTGGGCTGCCGCTGTGGGGTAAGTATTTGGTTTCCGTTTCCCCCCAAAGCTAAACACACTGCCCTCTGATTCTGCTTCTGATTCTGGTTCAATATCCGGTTCCACCTTATCACAGAAGCTTTCAGTGCCAATGGAATTTAAGTACAAATTCAAAATGCATTCGAGCATTAATTGGTATATTAATAATAACAGCGAGTGCGTTACGCAGCAGTCAAGTGCTCAGAAATGTGGCAACAACGAAGAAATGATTTTATTTCCGTTTACTACGAACTACGACGAGGACGGCACAGTGGGACGCATGCACACACACAGTGGGAGAATGGGCCTGTTTAAATATGCAATTTCAATTTCCGAAAAACACAAAACGCGTGCAACACGCAGAGAATTCACACAGCTCAGGATTTCCATGCCACTGAGGATGAGGATGAGGATGGGAATTGGGAATGGGAATGGGATTCGGTAGTCCGAATGGTAATCTAAATCGGAATGGAGATGATGGCGCTTGGCTGAGTGGTGGTGGTAAGCTGGGGGGATGTAAAATTTGATGTTGAATGTTACCAGGCAATCGGAAACAGTGGGTGACGCTGGTGGTGGTGGCCCACTGGCCGCATGTTTAATTGGACGCAATTGAAACTAAACTAGCGTAAAATGGAAATAAAAACACAAATGGAATTGTTGCTTTTGTCCGCTCCAACTCCAACTCCATCCACCCCCAACCCATGCCATAAGGCCAAGGGAAATTCATTCATTTCGTTTCGCATAAAAATTAATTACAAATTAATGTTGGGACAAATTAATTTACCATAAATTGAAATTGGTGCCTACATCCAGCGCTGGCGAGTGACTGCCAGGATGAGGGTGATGGCGGTCGGTGGTCAGTCGAGTGGTTGGCCCAAAGCTTGCCACTGGCCACTGGAGCAAGCGTCGGGATCAGCAGGGCACAGCCCTGCCCAATATAACAAGTGTTCATTAGCATATGCACCGCCAAAAACTGGCATACAGTGGTCGACACTGGGCACTGGATGAACTTAGTAATGCGATTTAGTAGAGCTGTCACTTTGCATGAAAATCTAGGGCCCAAAGACCGATTCAATGGCAACTCTAATGGGGAGAATCCAGCACCAAATGGGTTAATTTACTCTCGTGAATAATATTCCCAAACGATACCCAATTTCGGCACCCATAATGCATATTTTTATTTGAGTGATGGCCAGCATTTTCCATGATACATACCCACATTAAACTGCCCTCTTTCAACTGGCGCCGATTACAGCACATTGTTTATGTGAATGTTGCGCTCTTCCTGCAGTTCTGGGGGTGTAAAATTAAGGCCTAAACCGCATTTTACGAAATGCGGTCAAAAGGACTAATTATGCTAAACGCCGTGGCCGCAACAACCAGTTAGCCATGGCCGAGTGGTGACCGCCCCATCGTTTTTTGTTGTTGCTGATGCGATAAACCAAAAATTGTTCGCGATATTTCAATTAAACTCGTGTACGGATACACTCGTATATATGCAGATCCAGATGCCATTGCCCAGGGCCGTGCATATGTAATGCATTATGGATTTTGGCAACGTTTTAGCTGCTTTTCCCTCCTGCCACGACACACAGCGGGTGGGCGGGACGACAGTGGCAATAGCAAAAGTGGCATACAACAAAAAGTGTTGCCTCAAAACCATTGGAATGAGCGGTCGGACAAAAGTGGGCAGGGGAGGGTTTGGGGTTGGTTTGGTGGTTTGCAATGGAAGGTGTGGCCATGGGGCAGCGGTACATGTAAATAACAGCAAAAGTTTTAATTAAATTTTAAATACAAGTTAATTTTGTGTATTTTCACGCGCCACACAGAGCCACAAACACACACGACACAAGTTTCCAGTTTTATTTAACTCTTTGTGCATCTGTGTGCGGTCAATTATTTACATATGTGTGCGTGCGTGCGTGTGTATGTTTGTGTGAAAATGAGTTATAAATATTTAGTTGTAATTCATGTTTAGTTTTGCATTGTTGACGGCCTTAAAAAGCAAATTAATATTCATGAACAAACGGCGCGACCGCTTCAAATTTTAATTAGAAATAAATAACACAAACAGCAATATTCTGATGCAGCCAACAACCAACTTGTTGCCGATGCCACACTGCCACCCTGCCCCCAGTCCCCAGTCCCGCCAATTCCACTACGAAAAGCACTCGTATAATCCACATGGCCATTCCGGCCAAGACTCTTTCAGACATTTTCTGAATTATCTTTCCTAATCGAAAAATATCAAATGCAATGCACCTCGTTGAGTATCCTTATCCCATCTTCCCTCTCTCATAATACATCTTTGGACATGTGTGTGTGTGTGTGTGTGTGGATGGAATAATACCAAACACATTCATGTGATTTGCAAGTAATCATGTTGTACGCTTTCAGGCCACACAACGAATACTGATGATGATGCCTATTGCTCTTCCCCATTCCGATTGCGATTCGGATTCCTGTTATATCTCCAGTAATAAACGTGCGTAATCAAGCCATGGCCAGGTCTGCCGGGTCGCCACAACAAAAGCAAGTGGCAGCAGAAAATCCACATTTGCAGAAGATGCTCCTTGATCCATAGTCCGGGTGTAATATTT